TTGGATAAAATAACTGTGTTGGCTAGAGATAGAGTATCTATTTAATTTATATCACTCGTTTCGTCAAACCTGTCTTCCTTCCTTTAATTTAACTTTAAAAGTCTTCAATACAGTTAATGTTTTTGTTAGTTAATAAGGTTTTGGTTTTTCTTTTTCTCCTCAAACTTTTAATGTGTTTTATTAAATAAATGACAAGTATTTCACTCTCTAAAAAGAAACAGTCACGTGGCCAGAACATGCATGATTGGCAAGCCGGCACCAAAACTTCACATAAAAAAGTACAATTTGGTCCACATCATTTTTTTTAATAATAATAATAATATCTACAAAATCTGTATACATGTACGTGCCTTGACTACTCTTATTATTCTTTTTTCAAGATATCATCATACACAATATTAATTTCATAGCTATTTTCAAACAATGTTATGAACGTAATTAAACTTCGATGGGCCGTATACATACAAACCAAATTCTAACGCAACTTGTTGGCCAAAAATTAAACATTTTTTGAAAAAAAGTCAATAGGCAATTATTAAGTATATCAATAAATTTTGAACAAAGACACCAATCAAATGAAAGATTCCAATTAATTTAAAATCTTAATCTGGTTCCGTTTCTTCTGTGCAGCAAAAAAATTCTACTTCGCTTCCACATTCACATTATAATAAAAAAGTTCTCATAAAAAGTTCAATTTGGTCCACATCATTTAATAATAATAATAATATCTACAAAATCTGTATACATGTGTGTGTCTTGACTCTTATTATTATTCTTTTTTCAATATATCATCATACCCAATATTAATTTCATAGCTATTTTCAAACAATGTTATACAAGTACTCTTCAAGTCCTTAATATAAAACCTAATTATTGAGTTGATTTTGGTTCTAACTATAAGATATATTTAACATATTTATTAATTTTTTTTTAAATTACCTCTGTGGATCTCCCTTAACCATAATCAAGAAAAAAAGGGAAGAGAGGACATTAAGGAAGATGATTATGGTTTTTTTGAAAAAAAATATGTCATATTTCTTATAATTAACTAATTTACCTAACTTTCTTAATCTAATCAAATTAGTTAAATAGGTTTTATATTAAGGATGGATGAGTAATTAAATTTGATGGGCGGTATACATACAAACCAAATTCTAACATCACTTGTTGGCCAAAAAGAAAACATTTTTTGACAAATAGTTAATAGTCAACTATTAAGTATATCAATAAATTTTGAACAAAGACACCGAACAAATGAAAGATTCCAATTAATTTAAAATCTTAATCTGATTCCGTTTCTTCTGTGCAGCAAAAATTCTCCTTCGCTTCCATATTCACAATATATAAATCCACACACACACAGAGCTTACCCAGCTAACTATATATCCCATCCCATATCATCCCCCTTCACTTCCTACCTCTTTTTTCTTTCTCATCTCTTTCCCACACACACTGATATTTTCCTGAGAAAATCAAACAAGCAATGGGCAGAGAAACTTGGTGGGTCCTTGTCCTTCTATTAACACTACTACCCTTTGTGGGTGACATCCATGGAAGCAGCAAGCAAGAACAAGCTCTCAGGAATCTGAACAAGGCCAAGTTCAGAGGAGGAGGCTCCATTGACAGAAGCAGTGAAACAATCTTGGAAGTGGATGATGAGGTTATGTTTGGAGACTCTAATGATAATAAGGCTCATTACTATTATCTTCAAGAAGGACTGAAAGAGAAAGATAGGATTCAGAAACTTCCAGGGCAGCCTGAAGATGTGAGTATCTCTCAGTATGGAGGGTATGTCACTGTGGATAAGATTGCAGGAAGAGCTTTTTATTATTATTTTGTTGAAGCTCAACCATCTCATAGGCACAAATTGCCACTTCTTCTCTGGCTCAATGGAGGTATTTACAATAATAAAGTAACATCTACTAGGTTAACTAAATCAAATTTTCTTATACTCATCATGCACTACTTACAATTAACTTGAGAGAGATTAGAAAGATAACTTGATTACGTGTAAAACTCTTCATTAGAAGCCACACACGTCTCATCATTGATCAATACTCCTTTGTCCAATATGGTCTAATTAATTAATTATATGATATCTATATATTGTTTGATTTCTTTTGTTGTTATCACTAGTGTTGGTTTTTGTTCTTATATACGATATGACAATAGAAAGTTAGCATTCAAAAGTTTTTCATTCATAATATAATCTAGGGTTAAGGTGCACCCAGTACCCCCAAGTATTTTTCCAGGTGCACCCAGTGGCCTAAAGTAATTTATGGTGCAATTTTGCCCTCAAAGTAATTAAAATGGTGCACCGGTATCCCATGCTAACAGATCTGTTAGTTTGATTGTTAAATTGATGAGTTAGCACAAGTTTGACCAGAAAATCTGACGTGGCATGTCTAATAAACAGGTGATGTGGAATTTTTTCGGGGTTAAGGTGCATCCAGCACCCTCAAGTATTTTTCCAGGTGCACCCAGTGGCCTAAAGTAATTTATGGTGCAATTTTGCCCTCAAAGTAATTAAAATGATGCACCAATATCCCATGCTAATAGATCTGTTACTTTGACTGTGAAATTGATGAGTCAGCACAAGTTTGACTAAAATAATCTGACCTAGCATGTCTAATAAGCAGGTGACATGGCTTTTCTTGTTAATTCCATTGTTTTGTCTAAATATTACTCCTCTGGTCTTATTTATAAGGCACTTCCAGCATGTTTCACACAGACCAAGGAAAACCCTAAATTTCATTAACTCTCATTTAAATTTTAATAACTTTCCAACTTTATCCCTATTTAATATACATTATACCTCATATAAACAAAGTCAATACAATAATAAATGAGGTGTAAATTTGTACATCCATACAAAAAATTTCTCTCAGTGTCTTATAAATAGGACCAAAAAATATCTTTTCTCTCTATCCTATAAATAGGACTAGAGGAGTATCTCTGAAAAAATTTCTTACTTTGAAAAAAATTCCAAGAGCCGAAGAGAGCATTTACTGAATAGAGAAAACAAAGCAGTGGCAGACGAAAAAAATTCCACATCACCTGCTTATTAGACATGCCAGGTCAAATTATTTTGGTCAAACTTGTGCTGACTCATCAATTTCACAATCAAAGTAAGAGATCTGTTAGCATAGGATACCGGTGTACCATTTTAATTACTTTGAGGGCAAAATTGCACCATAAATTACTTTAAGCCACTGGGTGCACCTGGAAAAATACTTGGGGGTGCTGGATGCACCTTAACCCCAAAAAAATTCCACATCACCTGCTTATTAGACATGCCACGTCAGATTTTCTGGTCAAACTTGTGCTGACTCATCAATTTAACGGTCAAACTAACAGATCTGTTAGCATGGGATACCGGTGCACCATTTTAATTACTTTGATGGCAAAATTGCACCATAAATTACTTTAGGCCACTGGGTGCACCTGACAAAATACTTGGGGGTGCTGGGTGCACCTTAACCCTATAATCTAATCCATCGGTGTATTTACATGCAGGCCCTGGATGCTCATCTCTAGGGTACAGAGCAATGCAAGAGTTAGGACCATTCCGAGTAAACAGTGATGACAGAACTCTTCAGAAAAACAAATATTCATGGAACTATGGTACCTCTCTTGACATTTTTCAATAAATACTATCATAGATTAATTTAGTATATTAATGTCATTGAAGTGTGTGTATATACTCCTCCGGTCACTACCACAAATTTATAAATATTTGACGCCAAATACCTGACAGTTATTTTAAAAACCGTCAAATCAGAGTAGATGCTATATAGAAAAATACTCATCCGGTCCTAAATATAAGACCCTTATACATACTAGTATAAGGGTTTCGATTTTTTTTTCCTGTTTTGAATGAATGAAATCAGGTAAACTAAAACGAGAATTCTGAAAAATCTAAATGAGTAAGAGATATTGGTATTGGTTGACACCGGTATATAAGTCATGTTATACTGTTGATAAAGGTCTTATATTTAGAATCGAAAGAGTAATACCTCACAGTTGTTCATTAAGAACCATCAAGTTTTTTTTACGGTTCTCCTTGTTAATCGTAAAAAATGTAATCACCCTCATGGTCTTCTTATCAGGCTCTTTCTGAATATTTTTCCACCACTCTGTCCCAACCTCGATTCCCTTTTTCACTCAGCCTTTCTCGTCGTCAAGTCTCACTGATTACCATCCTCATCACCGCCTCTGCCTCTACCCACTTCTCCATCATCTCCTTCCACAATCTCCTCCAACCCTAAGAGAATCTCAGGTATTATAATCTTGTCTTTGCCACTCACTACTTTAGCCTCAACGTCTTCCTCATCGCTACTTCATGAGCTGCTCAAAGCTATGTACCTCATCGATTTCAACTATTTCAAGCCCAAGCCGAAGAGGATTTGCCTCAAGGAGATCGCATGGAGAGATATAGTCCAAAAGGATCATTTACGAAGGAGAATTTAGGGTTTCTAAAGAAGATTCTAGAGAGGTCAAGATTATGGCAAAAGATCTATTTGCCACCAATGGTTGTTTCACTGAATTTATGTATGGCGGTAGCGAGAGAAAAGCCAGATAGTCGTTTGTGGTGTCAATTTTTCTAACTAGTTTTTGCCGTTTAGCTTTCCCCATTCCTCTGGCCCTCTAGAACTTTTCCTTCCCCGTGAAAGCTTCTCAGTGAGGGATGAAAGCATTATTTGTTTGATCAGATCCCCATCGTCCCTCACTTTTCCATTTATATATTTGAAGAAAGAATCTGTTGAATCCTTTTCAGGTTTGAAAGCTGGAGAAGGAAATAGAAATGGGGCTTTTGTCCAATAAGTATCTTTATTACCACTCATAAATCATGCTGTCTTTATGTTTTAAGCTTTCTTTTTAAGCAGAGTTTGGAATATCTTTTGCTCACTAAAATTTGTGACAATCTATGTGCTGTTTCAAATTTTTGTTGATGAGTATTGTTCCTTTTTTCCTTTTCCTTAATAACAACAATATGACGAATAGAGTCCCTAAAGAGGGCTTGAAATTTGGGGATCATATCTACTCTTGGAGGACTGCATATATTTATGCCCCATCAGGGTTCTGTCAATCTTTTTCTCCTTACTTTTTCCTTCATAATTTTTTGTTTGGTTTTAAATTTCTTCAGTTGACATGCTTGTCCTTTTATGTTATTTGGAAATTATGGCGTAAAGGAAGATAACACTAGTGCTACCCTTGTTTCCGCATTCTCTTAAACAAGGAAGATATTGCAAGTTTTGGGATGTCAATGGATGTTGACAACAAAGCTCATGATACTAGATCTACATTAGAAAGGGCGAATAGGTAGATGGCTCCAATAGGTAATGAATTGTAAATTAATACAGATTATTAGATAGATTATCCAAATTAGTTAAACCTAAGTCAACGTTGATGGCTACGATGCTTAGCTATGTTGTAAGTTGCTTCGTATATGCAAGATAGTCAACTTGATAGTGTATTAATGCTGATGGCAAGATTTCATCATATTCAGATACGTTTTGGATAATTTGGGATGGTTCATATATGAGAAATAGTAAAATAATTGATAGCAGAACTTAATGAATAGAGAATTGTAAATTAAGAAATTTTGATCCTATAGTGGTTTATTCACAGCAATTTGACTCACCTTGGTTGTTCTGTCTTGTGCTCAATATAGGCAATTGGATATGACTTCGACTACGATGATCATAGTTACAGGACCTCTTCTCTTTAAAACTTTTTGCCCCATCACTTACACTTAACAAGTGACATTTTAGATTATTAATGAACAAAAAAAAACAAGTCTGGAGTAGTAAGACTATCTCATAAAACCTTGATGCTTTAATGACTAGCAAATGTTAAATTTATGGTCACACTTGTAGAGAAGGAGGTACATGATTTGTATTAAACTACTTCCCCCTGTTTTAGTTTTTTTTTCCCCCAATTTATTAGTATGTCAATCTCTACTTACAATAGCAAACTGGACAAAGCAGAGATCGATGCTGAGACTAGCTTGTGAACTTTTTAGCATATCTAATACATGCTCTCCACTATTTCATAGTTCTTGCTGTTTTTAAAACCATCACAGCCATTAAATTAAATGAAGAAAATTACATGTACGTTATAGAATTAACTTTGTATCGACTACCAACAAATAAACATTAGCTTTAATTTGTAGCTTTGTTTCATGTGAAGATTTTGAGCCTTCGTCAAATGGAAAACATAACCTTACATGTAATAGTTACGTGTGAAAATATAGAGATGTGTTGGGGTGGCTTCCTCTCTTCACTCTAGCATGATGATTCTTCTATTTATAGTAGTTTCCCATGGAAATTTAAATACAGCTTAGATTTTTTTTTCCCCAATTGTTTTGTCAGTGGGAGATTGCCTTACGAGAACTTGAAAACCAGAACTAGTTCACAAATTTTTTTTGTGAACTATGCTTATAAATTGCTTGAATATAAACGGTTGAGAACAATAAATTAAAAGGCAGTTGCATGGTACACAACTCTATTATGTACATTTTTAATATGTTCTTGTAATTGAGCCTCTTGAAAAATTGAAGGCACTATTCTAATAGGTACCCGATTATAAAATAGAAGACTAAGAGGGCTTAGTTGATTGGTTTCTATCCACCAAACTCTGGACAGTGATAATCCAAGTGACATGCTGGGTAATCAAATACTTGAGAAGTGATTAGTCACTTTTGCATACTTGTTTATTTAAATATTTGAGAAGTGAGATGGTGATCCAAATAACTACTAATTTAGAAATGTTGATATTTTGCAGACTGAGTATTTGTGACTAGAAGCACTAATACCTAATCTTTGGATAGTGAAAAGACCTCTTCTTAATATATAATTATAAAACCATTTTTAAAATGATAACCATGGTAGAAAAAGAATTAAGTTAGAATGTTAAAATACTATCATGGTTATAAAGAGTTTGACTTATTTCGAAAACGTCCCAAGTAGCTCAGGATGCATAAAACACCCATGGGTTTAACAATGTAGAACAAAACCTCAAGGCACAGTAACCGCCCACAAGCCCAACATAATATTCATCCCACAAAGACTTAGGGCACAAGAAACACAGGGTGCTCAACCCAGCCCATAAGTCATACATCGCACACAGCAGAGTCTTATGGCCTGCAGCCATTTTAACAGTATTCCATCAAATACAGTCATCCAAACAAAAGAAAGTATACGTCAACGCAGTCGTGGGCCCTAAGATGGCAATATACATAACATTACATGCCTAAACCAGAAGAGGACTGCTAGGCTATGCTCGCCTATGCCTCTGGTTTCTTCCCTTCACGTCGAGCCAAACTAGATGGCTCTCCTGAAAAGTATTGATGAATAGCGGGGTGAGACGTAAAGTCCCAGTAACCAAGTATTAATTTATGACATATACAAGTAGGATGGTAAGTTGGTGAAGTAGTGCTTAAATATAGTTTAAGAAATAAATGGTACTGTAATAGATATAATCACATAAAAAGAGTACATCTCTCCATCCACAATACAATTCATATAAAAGTACATATATGCAACAACACAATGAAATATGCCCTCCCATCACCTTTCTCCTCCTTATGACTCCTTGACAAGGACCCGGGCTTTCTGTGCTGAGTAACCCGGCCAAAGGTCACCCCACTCACATCAAGCAACGGGCCCCCTCCTGTACCTACACCGCCCAAGAATGGACTATGGTGCAAGAGGTGTCTACCCAAGAGTTCATTCTCAATTCCGGGCCAAGGAAAAGGAAGAACTACAGGGGTCTAACAATAAGGCCAAACACTGGGATCCGTAGTGTAGGCATGCCGCGCGGACTTCAAGAACAATTATCCTCCACATAACAAAATCCCATCCTCCACATATGAACCCCATGTATAGTCACAATATAAATCAAAATATCACAATCTTCAAAGTAAGATGATATAATTTCAAACAAAGTATAACACATTTTCATTTCATTTAATAACATAATATTAGTATATTAGATTCAGTACTACACGAAAACACAATTTCCAATAAAACACAACTCAAACATAATTAGATCAACATACTTCCCACTTCACCAAAATTTGTCATATAATAAAAATATATTTTATTCACAGGCATACTTTTACAAATTAACTAAGAAAAAAAACATAATAAACACCTTACAATCCAAAGCGTGTATATAAAATAAATTAACCCCGGTTACCTCTACTCCAAGCTTAACCTCACAGCTTGAGAAATAAGAGCGCAAATTACAAACTCCGAAGTACAAGATAATCTACAAATAATATAGATACAATTTAATATACATACAAATAATTAACTTAAATTACATAGAATTTATTATTAATAATATCTATACTTATATTTACTATCCAAAAATTCTTACTTCAAATAACAATTTTTCTCTACCCAAATAACTCATTTAAATTATAAATATTTATAAAATATTGTTTTTATCTAATATTGTAAGAATCTCAATTTATAACTTAAGTTTCCAGTTTCAAAATTTTTCTAATAATATAGTCTTAACCTATTTTACATTTTAAACCGATTAAAATATCAATAATATATTAAGTAACCCAAATAAGTTATTTAACTTAAATTTAATCGGTAAAAACATTCTATATATCTTGAATAATACATTTTTCAACTAAAATCTTAGTTTAAAATTCTCAAAACAATCAATAAACAACTATAAACCGATTAAAATTTCAATAATATATCAAACAACCCAAATAAATTATTTAACTTAATTTTAATCGGTATAAATATGATATATATCATAAGTGACAGATTTTTCAACAAAATAAATTTGATTTTAAATACCATAGGTACTAAATTGACAAATCTAAACCGATTAAAATTTCTTAATAATAAATCTTTAAATTCCTACGGTCAAATATCTTCGAAACTCAATACTTACTCTATACCCAAATCACAAAATTTTTCTCCAAACATTATAATGATACTACTAATATAAAGCTCTAAATATATAGGAAATATTCATAAGGAAAAATTTAATAGAAAGAAGTGTTTAATGTACCTATATGATCCCCAAAGCTTGTATGACTCTTCAAACTGCTAACACTTCTCTTCTTTTCTCTCAATCTCTCCTTCTGCGCATCTCACTCTTTCTTTCCATTCTTTGCGATCACTCTCTCTTTTTATTCTTTAAATTGCCAAACCGTCCTTCCTCAATTTTTCCTCATTCATTAATGCTCCTTCCATATTTTTCTTACTTCAGTCAAAAACTCTCCCCCAAATTCCTCTTCCTCTTAAATACGTTCAGCTTTCGGTGGAAAGCTGAACGTGTTGTCCCCTTCCCCCATTTTTTTTTGTTTAATAAAAATATTATTATTTAATAGTAATAAAATATTATATAATTTTTTTTTTTGAAAAAAATAACTCTTTTTTTTTTTTTTTAAGGATGTTACAGATAGTCTACAACAAAGGCTTTCGGGAATATTGTGGCAACAGTGTTCTACATCGTGGAATTTTTTATTAATAGATTTTCTTTTAAAATTAAAAAAATAGAGACATTGTTCTTTTGTACATGGAGTGTTCAAGTAATTAATTTCTTTTAAAACGTATGATGTTTATTGATAATGTATTGGATTTTGAATTCCATAAATTTCATTTGTTTATTTATTATTATTCTCTTGTTATTATCACCAGTTTTATTGTCTTGTAAATTAAAAAAAATAGAAAAATAACTATATATAATAAAGAAAAGAAGCTACTTTATCTATCAAATAAGGTCCTTATTTGACAGTTATTAGTAAAGAACTGTCAAGTATTTTTGAAAATATTTTACGATTCAAAACCGTCAAATATGCTTTCCAGAGAATATATGATGCCCTCATATTTGACGGTTTTGAACTGTCAAATACGAGAAAAAATAACCATCAAATATTAGCAAATTTGTAGTAGTGGGTCTTAAATATAAGACCTATTTTGTTGTGTAAATTTACACTACAAAATAAGTCTTATATTTAGGACCGAAAGAATATATATAATGATTCATATATTTATATGTGGGGGATTGGTGTTCCAGCTACAAATGTATTATTCTTAGAATCACCAACTGGAGTGGGATTTTCATACTCAAATAAGACATCAGATTATGACAATAATGGGGCCAAAAGGATTGCTACAGAAAACTACGTGTTTTTAAGGAGCTGGTTGGAGAGGTTTGCAGAGTACAAGAATTATGATTTCTACATTGCTGGGGAGAGCTATGCTGGCCACTATGTTCCTCAGCTTGCTCACACCATTCTCTACCACAACAACCATCCCAATTCCTCCTTCTTCATGAACCTCAAAGGCATCCTGGTATGTCCCTCTCATCATCTTCTTACATAAATTATATGAAGGAACAACAATGTGAACATTATACTATCTGTGTGTTTGTGCAGATAGGGAATGTAATGATAAACGATGAGACAGACAACAGAGGAAGATGGAATTTCTTAGATGTTGCATCATCATCAACTGTTGATGATGATGTGAACAATGAATGCAAAGCAACATCAAATGAAATAGAGCAAGACATTGGTTCCATCAATATATACAACATCTATGCTCCTCAGTGCCAAGATTCTAATCTCATTTCCCTACCTAAGCCTCCTTCTGTGAGTTATACATTTCACTTCCTTATTTATTCCTAAAAGGGCCTATATACATGTGTGTGTGTGTGTGTGAGGATGAAGTGAAATTTATGGTGAAGTTTTGTGAAAGTGTTCGTGCAGAAAGTGGCAGACCCATGTATTGACTATTATGTGGATGCATATATGAAACGGGTTGAGGTGCAAGAGGCATTACATCCCAATGTCACAAAATTGAGTCATGACTGGGGACTCTGTAGGGATGTCATCATCACCAAGCTAAGTGGAATGATAGGCCTTCCACTGTGCTTCCTCTTTTAAAAGAATTCCTCAATCACAGCCTTCGTGTTTGGATTTTTAGGTATTTGCTGTTTAATTCAGATTTAGTTTGAAATCTGAACCATTCACATTAAAATTGGACGGTCTACTAGATTTATAACTTTTTCTATATTTTTATATATAGTAATGTATATTTTTTTAATGATATATATACAAATATATCTGAAAAATATGCAGTGGTGATTTTGATGGGATGGTGCCATTTACTTCAACAGAGTATTCCATTGAGAAGTTAAATCTCACTCTTAAGACAATGTGGCGCCCTTGGTTCGTCAATGGAGAGGTAGTGACATATAATGCATTTCTAATATTAATTACACAATTTTAATATATATAAATGTTATACTGTACAAATCTTATTTTTAATATTATTTTCGAAATTGTCAAAACAAAAAGAACTTTCGCTCAAAAATATTTGACCGTACAATTTAAACTTTCAGTGTTTAGGGTTATTTAGAATAACAACAATAATGGGATTCTTTGATGATAATAGCAAGCCTTGTTTACCCCAAACATAAAACACTAAGTGGGCTCATGAATAATATGCCTGTTAAAATTTTTTCAATTATACTACATAATTTCAAATAATAACAAAGACACAACGGTTAGTATATACCAGGCCAGTTCATGCAAAATGAGATCGAACTCTCTAATTCAACCATGAATCCTTAAATCACTGTCGTAATTGATTCAATGACCAATTTATTTTATTTTTAGTATCTTAATACTACCTCTGATCTGATCCTTAATATAAAAGTTAGTTTAACATTTAATTTGGTCCCAGATCTTAATATATTTTATTTCTCATATTTATCTATTTTTTCTAAGATAGCCCTTATAGTAGTTGAACATGTTAAATATTTTGTCAAAAGTAGTTCTAGCTAATACACG